GGTGCGTTTCTTTAAGTCTTCCTACCAACATGACCGAGTTGCGAAAACAAGGTCAAACAACTTCTATTTGTATTTTTATTGTTGGACTGATCAATATGAGTGAATAATCTATTTTGCTTAGTTTTATTTTGCATTAATTATTGATGAAAATCAGATAAACAGTGTGATTTTAACACCGAGTCCTTTTCATGTTTTAGCTTTTAGAGAAGTATATTGCATATTGAATGATCTATTATTTTCCATTTAAAATTCAATTTACTCTTTTTTATATAAATAGTATAATGATTTAATTTGTATTAAATTATAAGCCTGGGCAAATTTACCGACTTAACGTTCTTCATGAATGTAGTTAGATGTGATGATGTCTAGATCAGCATATGTTATGAGATTAAAAGATTGTCTTTTGCAAATTTCGCTGTTAGATATAAATCAAGTATCTGAGAGCATCTCAGAAACTGATCTTGACTATATATGTATACATACATAAAATCAAAGTAAGGGTTCTTATGAAGTCTTTGATTTTAAATAACAGAGATATCATTCCGCCACGATCAAATTCATCCTGTTATTAACGTTTGCGTGTTCCCTTAATTAGGGCTCAATGTAAATGCATGTGATACTGGGTTTCAAAGAATTCCTTAACATATTGATGTTAGGGTAGATTTGATTTCGCTTGAGGAGGCGAGCGTAGGCTCATAAACCAGATTGAGAAAGGAAAAAATGGAATTACAGGAAAAGGCGCGATCTCTTTCCTGGATGTTAAAGTCATGGATAACTCAAGAGGAAATTGTTCAGAAAGAAGTTATATGCCAAGATAATATTAACTTTCCAGTCTCATCACAACTACAAATTGAAGATTGTAAAATTGAGGAGCATGATCATCAGAAGCCTACGATTAACTGAGGTGAAATGATGTGACGAAGAAATATGGAAATTGACTAGGATGTTTCTAGGCAAAGATTACCTGATAGAAGTAATAGAATGAAACATACGGGCCGCGAAAAGCGGATGATGCTTCTTGCAACACTAGTATTATTAATCTAGTGCTAGCTTGAGGCTGTTACAGTAATGATTTCAGCTCTGATGATGTCCATCATATGCTGTACGAAAGCTTAGCCTGTTTCCACCCGATACAAATGAGGATGTCTCGTTAACTGCGTCAACCTGAATGTCGTGGTAAGGCCAAACGGCTGCAGTTCAACGGGGATCAGGCGTCGTCTTCTGATGAAATTGACCTTCATTATGCTTTTGCATGCGAAAAAAGGTTACCTAAATACAGCTACTCTTCGTATCAACATAGATATCAAGACCAAGATAGTGTAATCTGTTTGGTCGCAGTCTCCTTTACCTGTATAGTGTTGGCTTCACCTCGTTTTCGCAACTTGATCGGAGTGACAGGAAGATCTTGTGGAATATGCCTAATCCCGCGTTCTCTGCCAGAGTATTTATAATCATTCCCAGCATCGGACAGTTGACTTGGTAGATTCCCAGACGTCTCGCCAACATTGCCAATGAGTGGCGCCATCCTTAACACAGGGCTAAAACCTATCCACGAGGCAAGTTAAGACAATCTCATTTACTAATTTTATGTTCAACCGTTCTGGCGTCATTTAGCATCTGAACATCTCTTATAAAGACTCAAACAATTACATTCTAGCCAAGAGCACAAGAACTTCCCATTTGATCTATCCGACTAACCCATCACATCCGGCAAGGAGCAAATCAGAGGCTGTTGCATACAGCGATCAAGGTTCTGTGCAGGAATAATTCCCAACAGAACTAGATTTCTGCATGGCGTCATCTCAATTGTGGCGGCTAATCATACTTTCACGCGCCAGGCTCGTATCTTCACCAGTGGCTTACAGC